CTGACTGTGGTGATGGGTTAAAAGCTGCACACAACCAAAGTCACATTAGGTTGTGTGCAGTGGTGAGCTGTGTCACAGTGACAAGGAGTTCACTTTCCTAATGCATTATAACAACACCAACCATGTGTCTCAGGTTTGGGTGGAGATGCTGAAGCCACTGGTCAAACAGATCAGATGTGAGTAAATCTTTTTTTTTATTTTCTTTATCTAGAGCGTCAGGATCGTCTCACGAGTGTATCAAAATCACTCTGTGGTAGCAGGCTAGATGCTAAATGTTTTCACAGTGTTTCTTTCTTATCAGTTTGCAGTCTACATGTTTTCCTTGCTGTTTCCTTGTTTACAGTTTACAGATTCAGATTTCAAACTGTGAACTGTTCCTCTGCTCTGTTGTCTCCTCCAGACTCCAACCATCTGTTCTTCAGGTTCATCGTCAAGTTCTTTCCTCCTGATCCAGGACAGCTGAGGAGAAGTCTGACCAGGTCTGAGCTGCTCCGCTCACTAACACACACACTGACACACCCATAATACACCACTGTGCTCTCTCCACTGGATCTCAAACTATGGTACATGTACCCCAGGTGGCACTGTTGCTCCCTCTGGTGGTACCTGGTGCTGTACCGCTGTATTTTAACGTTGCCGTGTGTGTTGTCGTGTGTACAGGTATCTCTTTGCTCTGCAGATCAAACAGGACTTGTCCAATGGCAGTCTGACCTGCAATGACAACAGCGCCGCCCTGTTGGTCTCTTATATACTACAGTGTAAGTTTAAAAAAGAGACAAAATCTAAATCTCTTAGGTTAGAATACCTGAGGGAACTGGTTCTGTTTTGGTTGGTTGGTTACAGCAGAAATTGGGGACTTTGAGGAAGAATTGGACTGTCAGCACCTGGAGATGAAGCAGTACGTTCCCAACCAGGAATATCTGGACCATAAGATCATCAAGTTGCACAGGACTCTCAGGTAGGATCTGAAAAAACCCTTTTCTCCTGACACTCCTGCTGTTCCTCCTTCATCCTTTCATCTCTGTGTAGAGGAACGTCTCCTGCAGAGTCGGACGTTCAACTCCTGGAGGTGGCCAGGAAGTTGGACATGTACGGAATCAGACCACATCCTGCCCAGGACGGAGAAGGGTTGAGGATCAACCTGGCTGTGACCCACTCAGGTGTTCTGGTCTTTCAGGTAGGGAGTCTCCTCCTCTGTATATTTATACATATATATACAGTATATACAGTATAACTCCTATCATGCTAATTAGCCTATATATGGACTCATTTTGCTACATTTGTAACTTACAAATTATATAAATTAAATTATAAAATTAAATTATATAAATGTGTTATTTCAGCTTAAAGTTTTTTCTTCTATCTGTTTGTTAGCTTATAGCACAGTCTGCTGAAGTAACCTTAGAATCAATTTTTTTCTGTACTTCTTTTCCAGGGAAACACCAAAATCAACACCTTCAGTTGGGCCAAAATCCGCAAACTGAGCTTCAGACGCAAACACTTTCTGATCAAACTGCACGACAAAGTGGGGGTGAGAACTCAGCTCTGAGGAGGGTGGGGTGTTTTCTTGTTGGTTGTGACACTGTTTCTCCAAAGCTTTATGTCTTGTTGCTGCAGCCCTCCTGTAAGGACACTCTGGAGTTCTCCATGGCCAGTCGAGATGTTTGTAAAAGCTTCTGGAAACTGTGTGTGGAACATCACGCCTTCTTTCGGCTCCCAGAGGAACCCAAGGTGGTCCAGAAAGGCCTGTGGTCATGTTCGGGCTCCAGCTTCAGATACAGGTCTTTGTTGTTGTGTTGTTGGGTTCTCCTGCTGCTGTCAGTCAGCTGAACTGATGATGTTCTCCTGTTCTTCTCTGATGCTCCTCCTCTCTGCTCCAGTGGCCGAACACAGAAGCAGCTGCTGGACTGTTGGAGCTCCGTACAGAAGAGACCCGCAATTTTTGACAGGTGAGACCAGGCGTGGGTTAAAGGTCAGCAATTATTTTGTTGTTTTTTTTCTCTGTTTTAAGGGTGTAAACCTTTCTTTGCTCCAGGACTTACTGTCAAAACGACTTTGATCCCAGACAGTGCAGATCTTCTCCTGACCTCCTCACCGATGTCTCCAAACAGGTGAAAGTTCAAACTCCCGTAGATTTGTCTCACGTGTCTTTAAATTCAACTATTGTATAAGGATTTCTTGGAGGTTGGTTTGTTAAATCCAGAAAGAGTTCTGAGATGCAGCTGGAGCAAGAGGGCCTTCCTGAGACCTTTGACCTTGACCTGAAATACAGTTCAGAACATTACATTGTGGATAGTTCTCCAGTCCATCACAGGGTGAAATGCAAAGACAAAAACCACGTTTACACTCACATTTAAACCCATGATCAGTGAACGACCAACCAAACACCAACCTTTGGTTTATACTCATTCAAATTAAATGTTACCCTAATGTCTGGAAAACCAGATCCAGGTTCTTCTTCATCATATCCTGGAGGACTGAGAACATTCCCTGATGTTGCTCCAGTCTCTGTTTCAGTGACACAGTAACATCAGTGGTTCAGACCTAACTAATCGACTCTCCTCTGTTGGTTCTTCTTCTCCTGTAGATGTACGAACAGGTCTTCCCCTTCTCCCGCCCACCTCTGAACATTCACAGTCACAAAGATCTGGATCCTTGTTCCCAGGACCTGGACCGCATTGAAATCACAGAAGGAGGGGCTAAACGCAGCCAATCATCTGTGGAGGTCACCCAGAGGCCCAGCCCTCTGGCTAAAGTCACTCCGCTCTCGCCGTATCTTCACCGATCAACGTCGACACACAAGACCAGATCAGCATCCACGTCTTTAATGGACGAGGTGAGGTGTGGACAGATCGGCATGCATCGACAGGCTCAGAGGTTAGCGGGGGTGTACGGCAACAGGTCCCGACGCCGGGCCAATCCTCAGCCACATCCTGACGCCGCTCAGCAGTTGGTTCTCCTTTACCCCAACAGTCCTGGGTATCAGTACCACCCTGTTCTCCCCACCTTTCCCTTGTCTGGGTCCTCAGCACTCGGCCGTCATCCGTACCTGAGCGACTACGTCACTGTGTCTTCCCTGGAAAGATTCCCACAGGCCGGGAGGCGAGATTACGTGGCAGTGGACAGTTTAGCTCGACCGTCTTTTTATCCACTCAGCCACAGTTCGCCACCAATTTCACCAATCAGGAGAAATCTCCGCCCCTGTAGCTTGGGTGGAGGTCTGGGAAGGATTTACCAGCCGGGAACCAATGGAGCGAGGTGGTTAGGAGGAGGACGGGTGGAGGCTGGACATTACAGCGATGACTCCAGTTTCCACCCAGGATTACCACGTCGTGTCGCCAGCCAACCAGACGTCAAGTTCAACCTCTCCAGGAGTTCAAACCCCCCCTTCAGTGCCGCCTCTGAATTCCGTCCCCTTGGGTATTACCCACATCTGACCCGTCCATCCAGACCCACCTACCTCCCTCTGAGCTCCTCTCCTCTTCCTGAACGACCAACGTCACTGTACCTAATCGGCGGCACTGGGGGGAGCTACAGCGACTCTGACCCCGAGGTTTTCTACCCTTATTACCTACCAGCACCTCCTCCTCCACCACCTCCACCTTTAGGGAAGGTAGGTCGTTCTGCAGGACTAGCCAGGATGAGGTTTTCCTCAGGGAGCCTTCAGCTGGATGAGGAGGAGGAAGAAGAAGAGGAGGAGGAAAAGAAGGACGAAGCAAAAAAGAAGAAAAATAAAGGGAAGACAAGAGAGGAAGAGGAAAAGACAGATGATAAAGACCAGAGCAAAGGCCCTGCAAAGATCACCAAGATCACACTGTAGGTGGGGAACCAGTTTGGACCGGTCTGGGTTATGGGATCAAAAGAGGAGGAATCACATGCAGACATATACAGTGTGTATATATATATATATATATATATATATATACAGTGTATATATATATATATATATATATATATCACTATATATATATGTCTGTACATATGTATATATACTACGAAATAGTTTTTTTATATTAAACTGAGTCTGGTAATCTATTTGAAACGTGTCATTACTCTGGGTAGCTCGGAGTAATGGCATACATGGATCCAGCAGCTCCATCTGCTGGATCCATGTGTAAATACACATGACAAAAAAAGAGAGGAGGGAACATAGGGGTGCCTACTCTACAACCGGACTGTGATGGAGCTCAGGTCTGATCACTTCACCTCTGATCATGTACTGACAGATCAACCAACCACAACGACTGTCCACAACTACAACAGACTGCTGACCAACCACAGGACTGTGCTGCTGGACCTGAAGTGTTTTTACAGCTGGTACTGAGATGGTTTCAGAGGTGGTTTGTGGTGAGGTTGGAAGAAGAACTAGTGTAAACAACCTGCAGTACATTTGTGAAACACTAGGGGTCGTGGACCCTCTGTTGCAGACCTCTGTCCACCAGACTGGAGGTGATGAGGTGGTTGGTGCTGGATGTGGACAGGTGTAGATTTGCTTCCATGTGTGTATTTGCTTGATGATGCAAATAAATCATTTCAGAACATTTCCATGTCACAGAAAATCACAGACACTAAAACAACAGACTTAAGAACTCAGCAAAGCTTTGAGTTTCTCCATCAAACTTAAATATTTATTATTTAAACTCCCGCTACAAAAACAGAGAGGTTAACAGTAAAATCTACATCTTTGACACATTTTCCCCTTTAACACACATCTTCATCATCATCATCAGTATTATTATTGTATCCCATATGTTTTATATAAAATCCTTTATTGTGTTTTTGGTACAAATGGCTTCTAATTCCTGTGATGACAGCGCCCCCTATGCTGGTGAAAATCACCTGTGTTGGTTAAAAGGTGGTTGTTGAAAACTTAAAATAGGAGAATTTTAGGTTTGATGTCAAATGAAAAATAGTTTTAAAACAAAACAAAGGGAAACAAAAAAACCTGACTTAATTTGGTTTGTCGACTTTTTTTAGTTAAACAATCGAACAGTAATCTAATTAAAACTATGAAAAAAAACGTGGGTTTGGTTTCAGCGTGGGGGCAAAGTTCATCCAGGTAGTACCAAAAGACAACAGAATTGTGATATTGGCAGATGATCAAGTGCTATGAAATACAGAAGAGAGGAAACTTGATAAGGAAATCAACGTCACGTCACTTCTTTCCTCAAGGAAACCAGTGACAGCATCCAAAGGTGAAGGCACTTTAGATATGTTTTTATGGGATGCATGGTTGTCATGTAAGTCTTAGTTGATTTAAAAACTCCGGTGATTACAAAAAAAAACAAAGAGAGTTCATACAAATGTGAATCAGCTTCTGAATTAAATCCAGAGGAGAAAAAAGTTCTTCAACAGCAGCAGTAAAAACACAGTATATACAAGATATAGAGAGTATATATTACAATTTTAGTGTGTGTGTGTGTGTGTGTGTGTGTGTTGGTGAGGAGATGTCGCACAGCAAAACTCCTCCTTTTCCCATTTTGCAGCAGCGGTAAAGCACAGAGACCAGTTACTTCCTTCTGCCAACGTCCCATGTCGATGGTTGACTCTTTAATTGGCTGTAAATCTGAAAATAAAAAGGAAATTGGGTCAAAAAATGATTGGGATCACAATGTGTTCACAGAAAATCTTCAGTTGTAGTTCACAGATAGCTAACACATGCTGCTCGTACACTGCTGCCTCCTGTGGTCAGTTTGTGTTACTGAGGATAATCACTGCTTTTTAATGTGACTTGGTGTAGACGATACAGTCTAACATCCATAGAAAAGTTAGAAGAACAGGAAGAACGACTGACTTCATAGAGATAACATTCTGTCCTGGTACCTGGCAATGATGTGTGTGACCATCCTGTCTGTGATTCCCGGACAAACGTCTTCAGCCAATCGAATGTTCCGTTCCAGCTCTTCGATAGCCAATCGCTGCTGAGAGTGCTCCTTATGTTGCTGCTTCAACTGAGTAGGAAAAAAACAATACAAAAAGCTGTTCAAGCTGCAAAGTCAAATACAGACTTTCACAGGTGTCTGTGAACTGACCTCAGTGAAAACAGGAGAGATGACGGTGTTCAAACTGGATGACTTAGTCTGATGATCCTGGACCTGCAGGAGGAGGAGGAGGAGGAAAGAAGGACAGGAGGGAAAAGAAAGACTGACATGAGATGGGAGATTCCTGAGTCTCAGTAACAGCATCATGTCGTCAAGGTTCTCCTTACTGTTCCATTGAGAACTTTTCTCCCATCTGACTTCTTCTTCCTGACGGTGGTGAAGGACCATTCTGGAGAGTCACTGTTCTCCTTGTTACTGGACTCACTGGGATGCAGGAAATACACAGACACACACATTGTTGATTGCACATGTTCACTAGCATGAAGCTCTGACCTGAGACGCTAACACAAGATAAAGAAGGTAATTGGATGTTAGCAGAAGGTAACAGACACTAGCAGAGACCAACCAAAGCTAGCACGAAGCTTTGACTTGTGTTTGGAGATGTCAAATGAAGCTAACAAAGGCCTGCAGGATTAGCCAAAGCTAACACCAAGTAAGGTAACAAATGTCAAATAAACTAACCAAGGGTCACAAAGCTACATGAATATACAGCATCTCACAGTAACTAACTGGAGCTACCAAAAACTTTAAACAAAAGGCTAACAATCGCTAAAAGCAAGGCAAACAGCCTCTCTTAGGCTAATATAGGCTAGCAAAAGCTAAAAGAAGCTGGGCGTTTACCTGTCTGAGTCGTCGGAGCTGCTGTTACTATGCCCCGCCTCCTTCCACCTCCTGTACCGATCAATCAGCTCACTCAGATATGAAGTCTTCTTACAGTGTTTGATGATGAACTTGTGTTTGAGGAGCTCTTTGGCCGTTGGACGCTAAGATGCACACACACACACAAATATAAATTTGTCTTCATTAAACACTGTTCATATATATATTTGGATTCACTTAAAACCTAATAGTGAGAAAAAATGTTCAACCTTATGATTGTTTTTTGACAAATTAACTTTCTAAACTTTTTAGAAAATAGTTTTAAATTTTACACCAACATTGTAAACATGTTTTATTCCTTTATAAAACATGAATGGACAGGTGGACTGACTGTTCTTCCACCAGGGGGCAGCTAATGTTATTAAAATATCAGCTACAGACAAAAGGCCTAAAAATGAAAATGTTATAATAACATCCATTAGAGCAGTGGTTCTCAAACTGTGGTATGTTTACCACCAGTGGTACGCAAGCGCTCTCTCTCATTTTCAACTAAATAAATCTGAAACATACCATGCACAATTATTACAACATTTAGAAAAACTGTGTAGCTACTTGTGAGATTATGAAACAGGATGTCTGGACTTTATTTATTTACTTTTCTTTTTGCTGCAATGCAAGTCTGTTGCTCACGTAAGCACAGGCAGCACAGAATCATGAGATCACTTGCAAGTTGAACGTGGAACGAGCAGGGGAATTCTAATGTTGGTCATCATGGTGGTACTCAGAGAGATCAATGTTTTCTCAGGTGGTACAGAGTAGAAAAAAGTTAAGAACCACTAAATTAGAGTTTCTAAGAAAATTAAAAAAATGGGCTACAGTTATCTTAAAAAATAAAAATGTCAACAAACGTTTTAACGGTAAAGATTAGTCATTGATTCAATGGAAGTGTTTGTGTGTGGGTGTGTGTTTCTTACAAATGCTGGGTCTTTGTTGAGACAGGCCTCGGTGAATTCTTTGAAACTCTTGGAAAAATCTCCAGTCAGCGTCGGTGGAGGAGATTTGGGAATGTGGAAGAGAACTCTCATTGGGTGCATGTCTGAGTTTGGAGGTTCACCTTTGGCCAGTTCGATAGCTGTGATTCCCAGAGACCAGATGTCTGCCTGCAACACACACAAAAACATTGTCAAAAATCAACAGGTTTTTCAAAGTATTTGGCAGCAAAGATTTTTTTATACGCATCAAAAATGAACATTTTTAGCTTCACGTTTTAATCCCTTCGTTGTTTTTTTTTCATAAGCCTAGTTATTTTCTTCCAATTTATTGTAAGTTAAATGGTTTTCTTTTGGGGGATCTTATGTTAGGCTTAGCTAAATGCTTTCATTAGCTTAAGGCTCAATTCAATTCAAATCTACAGCGTTTTCTTATGTTAAGATAAACTTGATATTTTCCTTTTTACCATATAAGTACTTGAGTTTTTTTTTCATGTCTGCAGTTTTTTGGACACTGGCAGTTTATCATAAGCTAACCATCTGTCAACCTGGAAGATACACATGCTCAGGTTGAATGTCACGTCTTCTCAATTTGCTTCAATGGCCATGTGTCCTATAACGACACACAGGGCGCACGCACAAACAGTGTCATGTTACGTCAGGACATTTGGCCATTTGAATTTTAACCCCACGTCTCTGTTTACTCTTTCACATTGAACAGATGGGAGCACAGACACACGCTGATATGAGCACGTGCACGTTCGAGCTTCCATATAAATGTTAGCTTATGGACTTAGCATTGAGCCTGGAAAGTGCTAAGTATGAAAAAGTATATATAAAAAAATAGCAACCTTAGTATAAAACAACAGGTTCACATTTTAGTTCTACTAGAATGCAGGTTGTTAGCCCCAATGCAAAGCTGACTATTAGCATGTAGGCCATATAAGCATATAAGCCATGGACCATTTACAGTTTGCACAGAAACAGCAAAAAGGTGGCTCAAAGTTAGCTCAAAGACAACCACAGATCCATATGGACTTACCTAACGGAACTGTGGTTAAAAATAGATTTAAATAGCAGTTCAAATCATTGGCTCTGAAATTGTGAAAAAATCAAATCATAAATAGTTCCAAATAAACAAATATCTAAAAATATTCCTGACAAGGCTAAAGTCAAGAATGGCCGACAAAGAGTTGATTGTTAGTAACCCTTGGTTAATAAAGCCCTGGAATCGTATACAAGGAAGTTTACAGAAGACACACATCGTCTCCTTTCACTGTGTGTTTACTAAGTGAGTGTGTTTGTGTACAGCAGGTGTGTGCTGTGTTTATTCAGAGGCAGCTGCACTTTTGAATGCTTCATCCATCCTCACCTCACTGGGTGCAACACTCTGCTGTCTTTCCTGCATCAGACCAGCAGAGGGAGGTGCACATAGCACAGCTCTGCATCCAGTCAGTCGTCAGAGACTCAGATATGACACGCTCGCTGTGTGATTTGCAAACAAAAGCAGCAGAACCCGAGGAAACCATTCAAAATTAGCAGACACTCTCTGCCACACCAAAGTCCATAGAGAAAATGACTGATTTTAGCCCAGATGTCAATGTGCTACGTTGTTGGTACACTGTAGATCTAAACCAAAAGGATTTCAGTGGCCTAGTCTGCATTTGTGTTTCCTTGTATGTTTAGTTGATAGGAGGCGCTAAACGTTAATCTCCACACAGGATGTCTTCTCTTAAGAGATATGGTGGTGACTCAACTGTGTTTGTTATGATTAGCCACTGAAATATGGGGAATTTAAACATTTTGCTGAAGCTAAAGTGTATGTGTGTTTGTGAGAGAAAGAGCGAGTTGACAGCTGATCATCATCTGATGATCTCACAGACGCTCTCCTTCTCTCAGACATGTGTGAAGCTCACAGTGAAACTTCAGAATGGGTTTTGTGCTAAATGTGGCGACGGCTGTGAAATAAAAAATTCCAATGTGACAGAGTCAGACCTTGGAGTCGTAGGCGGACTGCTGAATGACCTCAGGAGCCATCCAGAACGGCGTACCCACAAAGGTTTCCCTTTTGATCTGTGTGTCAGTGAGCTGGCCAGCTACACCAAAGTCAGCCAGTTTGACCTGACCGTGTTCTGACAGCAAGACGTTGGCCGCTAACCAGAGGAGGAAACAAACAAACAAACATGATTATCCAGGTCTGATACATTGATGTTAACATCCATTTATTTATATTTGGTGTAAATCTATCAAAACACAGCTGACATTTTTATCTTTTGGCTGGTTCTACCTTTTTAATGGGCCTTTTAGCTTTAGCTTTAACTTCTGAGTCATCCTTGAGCTATGGTGTTTGTCCAACAATAGCTGTTTTGGCTAGTCTTCAGCTGCTTTAGGTGATCCGTGAACTATTTTTTGCTTTGTACTCGGCCCACATGTAGCTACTTTGGCTAACTTTTAGCTACATCTTGTTTCACTTGTCAGCAATTTATCATGTATGTAACTTATATTTAGCTTTATTCTTGATAACTTTTACACATTTAAGACCAATTTTTACCATATATGACTAACTTATCGGTTACAGCTAATATTTTCACCAACATTTTTCTACTCTTTTACTCATCTCATTATTCTAAATATTATTGCTAACTGTTTTTGCTGATTTTTAATAACAGCACATTAACCTTGAATCATTTTCTGCTCATGTTTGAACCACTCCTGGACTAATTCTTGGTACTGTTTCACTGAACTGTTTTTTCTTCTGGTGTTGTGTTCAGGCACCGCGTACCCTTGATGTCTCTGTGGATCTTCTTCTCAGAGTGAAGGTAGTCCAGACCCTTCAGGATCTCCTTCAGCATGGTGGCGATCTGAGACTCCTCGAAGGGACCTGCACGTAACTACACACACACCCACACACACAGAAACACAAATGAAGTGATGACACTCAGGGCTGAGCCTCAGGCTCTTCACACTTCAACACACTCACAGCCTGTTTATCTTCATTTTTAGACAAGACTCAACAGAGAACTGTGAGACGACTGTCAGGATTATCAGACTGAAGGTGTGTGTTAGATTTCACTGTTGTTTTTTTTTAACAACAGGGAACTACATTTGAAGCTCTAGAATGTCTCACACACCAAACTTTACAGAAAAAAATCTCTGTTTTTAATTCACGGCACGACGTTGGTCCCTTGCTGGAATTACCTGTGACATCACTCCGATTTACCTCTGTAATACGACCCAACCACAAGAGGCAGCAGTGGACCAGCAGCTGCTGTATCCCTAAAATCACTAGTTTTCAGAAAGAGATGATGTCTCACCAGATCCAGAGCTGATCCACCTCCCAGATATTCCATGATGATCCAGAGTTTGGTTCCCTGACACAAAGACACAAACATGTGGAAATGTTTGTTTAAATTGAAAACTGTATCCAAATAAAGTTGATTTATTTTAATATATTTAAATTAATTTATTAATTACAACAAATGAGATCAGATTTAAATTTAAAAATACCTTTGCAAAAAATAGATTCAAAACAAAAATTATACATAACAGAATCAGATTTAAAATAAATTGTTGAAAATGTTTTAAACCAATAACTGCTTAAAAAGTAAATAACAAGGGTAGAGGCCTGTTAGTCCCAGGGCAAAGGGCAGAATAATTAGAGTTTTGAACAGTGGTCACATGACCCTGGGTCTATTGACAATGTTTTTAAATCCAGTCATAAAACACAGAGAGGGATCCCATAAAACTGGGTGTAGACTGTTTAAATGTAGGTCATAACCCAATCATTGATGAGAATCTCTGTCATCTGCAGGAACAGTACAACAATAATCCTGAAAGTTCCAGCTGTCAGTGAACACAGAACCAGGTCTAACCTTCAGGTAGGAGCCAAAGTACTTGGTGATGTAGGGACTGTCGCACTGACTCAGCACCGTGATCTCCTGCTGGATGTCCTCGATCTCATCCTCGGCCTCCTCCAGGTCGATGGTCTTTATGGCCACTACGCTCTGACTGCGATTGTCGATGCCTTTGAACACCTGCATGGGGCAGCAGAGAGGTAAGAAGGTGAGACCAGAGGTGAAGAATTTAAAGTCGCAGCCACAAAGTCGAGAAGAAACATCGTCAGTGACAGGAGGATGAAGTGGCTCTCACCTCTCCAAAGGATCCTTTTCCGATCCGGTCCAGTTTCGTGAACAACTCCTCTGGATCCAACTGGGAGCTCTGAGCACAGGACACAAAAACAAAGAGTTCCTCATTCAACTCTGAGAAATTTGTTTTTTAAAAAACATTTTCTATCATTTTATCAGAGCTGTTGTTATAGCAGGGCTACATTTGAGCCAAACACAGCTTGTTTAACTAACCTGTTTGTACTGTTTTGACCTTTTTGCTGTTTTGGCTGAATGATTTGATTTGAATGATGCTGACCTGCTACTTTGGATACTTCCTCATTATTAGAGTGCTAACATTATTATTACATCAGTCAGTTAGTTTTGCTATAGTGTCTCGGTTATTTCATGACGATTTTCACAAGTTTATATATATATATAAATATATAAAAAAAATGAACAAAGTTTTAGGTTTTCATTTTTCTATACTTGAATTTGACCGAGCAGCAGCAGCAGAAGCTACAGGAGCCCAGCTGAACATTCACCACTCAGTTACTGAAACTATATGTGTGTTTGACGTCACTCTTTCAGTCTAACAGTTAACTTTAGACTGAGGTTAAAGGCATTTATTTAAAAAAGGTCCAATTAAAAACCAACCAAGGCGGCCATCAATGTGTCGTAAAAAACACACACACACACAGAAGAGTAGTCAAGTAGAAGCAATAAAACACAGAGGGAAACAAGGGTGACAGTTAAAGATAACAGGAACTGAACACACAGCTGCACCCCACACACACACACACACACACATCTTTTCTGCACTCATTTCCTTAACTGGTGAGAAAAAGTGAAAAAAATCAGC